CATAGATTTAAGAATGCTCATGCACATACTTAGCGCTTGAAATCAACCTGAGCGAGACTGTATATGTTCTACCATTAACAGAAGGTGAGTACCGTTGCTTTAGCTAAGATAATTAGGGTATTGAACACTACGCCTACAAACCATGTAGCTGTTTTTTTTACGCACCAACCGCAATGTTAAGAGAAAACTTGCAACGCAATTATTTCCATGTATACGATAGATATTGTGGGTATTTGTTGAGCCTTTCCGGACAGTTGCGCTCATACGTTGAAACGTTTGGTAATTTATACGCCATTGCTCAACTGCAGATAGAGTGTGTAATGAGTGGCAGATACGCTGGTTCACGCCGACTATTGAGGTTTAATTGTGCGGACACGCGACACTGGCCAGCGCGCACCGCCTGTGGGAGTCCAGCCAAGCCGATACTGCAAAACCTATCAGATTCCATAGTGTACACTCGGGTATCCTTGTAAGTAGCGTTCGGTTGCAGTGATATACACGTGTGTTCATCCGTGTGAAATCGCGGTGTGTCTCGGTCATATCACGATGACCTTTTCATGACATAGCTAAAATATAATGTTTATGAACTCATGACGTATGGTCAGGGATAATTGAATGTGTATCGTAGCATATTCTCGTTGCCTTTGTACCAACCGCGACAACTTTTCTTTTGACCCTCTCGACTCATAATAGGTCGCCCGCTGCGAACAAAAGTTCGATGAGCTTATCATTACGTTGGACTTCCCTATAGATGTTGTCAAGCCTCTCGATGACCTATCGGAGTCGTACCGCAATTTCATCATAGAGGCTCTTGGCCTTAGAGATTGGCAAGTGGCGAATAACAAGTCTCCGGTGATTAGAGTGGCCGACTCTGGCAAACAAATTGCCGAGATTAGGTCTGAGGCATTCTCCAGTATCGAACCACAATACGGTAAGGGCGTGAAAAACATGCAAAATGTGCATATATTAATTACATCGCGTATAAAATGTTTATGTGTATTTACGGTATGTATAAGAATGCCCGCCCACAAGTCCCACATGATTTTTAAATTCCCGTTCCCAACCAATACATTCTTATTTATTGTGTCGGTGCTTCGCTTTCTGCGACCGGCAGTAATTCAATCCATATCTCACTGTATTCTTACTTCTATCGAATCGATCTAGGTGTCATAGCAAGATTGACGGGGAGTGGAAGAAGTGGACTGATTGCCACCACGGCAGGCGATGTGCGCAACGGAGACGATATATAATCCACCCTTACTACGTCTTCTCAGAAAGAACATCGTATTTCTTTGATTGGCTTATGTTCTGATTAATACGCTCTAAAGTCCGGAAAGTAACGAATCCCAAAGTAATAAAAACATCACTACATCAGCTATCCACTTACATCGACTACGCCTATATACTCCTACAGCTCATTTCACGAGCAGGGGTTTCGCTCCAAATCGAGGCGTGCCTGAAGATCCAGTGACGGGCTCTGCTCACTGTGCCTTAGGTAAGAAACAAATTCTGAGTTTTCAACTCAATTTTTGCTACAATCCCCTTTCATCGGTTTTCGAGCAGATCCATAAAGATCATTACGACATCTAGTGAGAAGCTCTGACCACGTGAAACCCAACTTTTTCCTCTCGATCACGTCTTGTCTCAACTGACAATACTTGAGAAATGTCCAGACAACATATCACCCTTACCTTCTGTACCTTTGCGCGAATTTCTCCGCTACTTGTCTTTCACTTCGTATGCATGTTTTTCGACCATCGAATCGATTGACTTTGCGGAGGTGATGACTGTGATCCAACAAATCAAATAATCCATGCAGTAAACCTATGGTTCATACTGATTTGTACTCATTCTTTCGTTGATCGCTTGTCCAACACCACCTTAGCTTCCTTCTGGCGGGAGTACCTACAATGGAAGACTACGCCAACGACGAAGACTGGCGCGTCATCCGACATGATCGAGATGATTGCTTATCAGTCCAGCAAACGCGGAGGCGATCTCACACTGCACGTCAGCCCGGATAAGCATGACGACGAACGCATATACTTGTCGGGTGTTGCTCTATCACAGTTGCAGGGGTCCATATTGTGATAAGCTTCTTGACAGAAAGCGATAATACCTGGGTGCAGAACAGAGTGCGGTTTGGGCTACGAGACATCAATGAACATGGGGCTCTACTATGGCGAGCCTCAGCAAGGGATACACTCTCGAGTCCGTACTCTCGTGCCGCAGCTGTCACTGTGTAGCGGGTTCGATATGAACGTCTTACATAGTTGGATATAGTAAGACCTTTTATATCTCTTACACTTCGTTGCGTTTGATCACCCAATGTTTGCTCGTGAAATCGGCGTGTAGCAGCATCGTATAGGTCTATTGTTCATGACCGAGATCATCATTTTGAGTATTAAATTGTTGACTCGCGAAGGGGGACATAAACGGAACCACGATATCTGCGAGACAGTGAAACTCTACCTTTCCCCCTCAACTTAAAGAGTACAACTTTTATCCCACATGATCGCCTATTATTATCGATATCTTATGATATCTATCTATATGCTATTTATGAGCGAAAGGCACGTTCGAACGTTACAAATCATGAAAAGTCATCCGATTTTTTCGTACAAAAAAAAAGAAATAGAGTGTTTTCACATGGCGGGGTTTTTTTTGAGACAGATTCGTTTCCTAAACGAAAGAGAAATTGGGTGACGTTTAACTTAGAAGCACGGAATTTATCTCAATAAGAATGTATGCTTGCTACACAAGTATAAATTTAGCCACACATTACACAAAAATGTCACAACGCGATGGTATTACATTTGATGGTTTTCCGTTCGATGCTACCGCACTTTCCCGTTTGATACAACGACACAACTCAATTGTAGTACTCTATAGGCACTTTGGTGGCGTCTGAGCCCACTTCGTTGGTGTCAAATAAACAAACTGATTGAAAAAATGGTCGCCGCTGGAAATCTGGGTGGCGCACTGCAAACGCAGCTTAAGTTGCTGATGGTCATCCTACTGTTTTTGTGTGTATATAGTATATACCTAGTTATTCAGTCGATGCTCTTTGGATGGTCTTTATCAAATACATAGTTGAACCAAGGTAGATATGGTTCAAATTTTTACATTTACATTCAACGGTACGGTTTTTGTAATATATTAATACCATATTGTACTACACGATCCACCTCTGCAACAAACGGAGCTAACGCACGACTGCCGCGCACTTGCGGTTGGGTCTGTTGCACCTGACAATCGAGCATACAAATAGCCGTGTGAATCTTCGGTTTACCTTTCGATAATTCGTTCTTTCTCAGTGTGCGCAGGTACCAATTCGGAGAATAACTTTCGCGATCTTTACATATTTTTTTACTCACCGTGCCGCAGTAGCTATTTGACTTCTATCGGCGCTGTGTTCGGTTAGCCCGCATTGGTTTTTTCAAAATTGGTACAGCGTCACAAGCTAATACAACAGACGACACCTTCACGCCTGAGCTATAATCAGGTGTCAAGTATAGTTCGCGATCCTGAGAGACTTACTATTTATCCGTACCATCAACATGATTTGAACAAAACAACTTGAAACGGCAAATGGTGTGTAGCGCGGAACTTTATTATTAGTGGATACTGGAATACTTCGCGATCTTTACATATTTTTTACCCACCGTGCCGCAATAGATGTTTGACTTCTATCGGCACTGTGTTCGGTTAACCCGAATCTGTATCTTCAAAACTGGTACAGCGTCAAAAGCTAATACAAGTGACGACACCTTCACGCCTGAGCTATAATCAGGTGTCAAGTATAGCTCGCGATCCTGAGAGACATACTAATTATCCGTACCATCAACATGATTTGAACACAACTTGAAACGGCAAATGGTATGTAGCGCGGAACTTTATTATTAGTGGATGCTGGAATACATTCCAGGATTATTTATCGCTACTTTCGTGCGCACGCCTAGTTTGAACCCGACCCGAGCGATGTTTGGCCAATGGGACGATGCTTGTTTTGGGTGGTATCACTACTGTGGACCTTTCCTACATCACAGTTGTATATAGGCAAGTGCCTACCACACTTGTACGGTTTCCACCATTGCAGGCTGTGCCTCGCCCTGATTGAGATACAGCAACACATTCTGATTTCAAACCGTCGGCACTTGTCGTTAGAAATGGGTTGCAACCACGGATACAGAATATTGCATGTGAATGATGACGTCGAACTGTGAGCCAAAGACCGATCGCGAAATTTGGACTATTTTGAAAATTACGATAATTAGTTGTGCTCCTACAACGGTCACCAGATCAACGGACGATTCTCGCTGTCGCGTATTGCCTTGGTATACCAATACTTCAGCTCACGCCGATCGATGAAGTACTTGTAGAACTTCGCATCGACAGAGCTGTCCTCAGGCTGCGCAGCAGTACTGTTCGCTCGTCGAAATTCGATATCTGTTGCCATAGTGTATCAAACGTCAACTATTAGGGCAGACCACTTATAGAGACTACAGCGCACGTTGATGAGCATATGAGCAACAAGACACATCGTATTGAGTATTCGCGAAACCTACTACACACACGGTTGAACACCGGCCGAAACCAAACATACCCGCCACCAGCGCCTCAGTATCAGACATGTAGCCGGTATCTACATGCGCGAAACTCTTCACTCGCGTGTTCTTGTAGAAGATATACTGGCACCACCGGTCGAAATCATTGGGATCCGGATCCTTCAGCGTTCCTTTCGTGACTAGGGTGTTGTAATTCTCCCGCTCAGACCACGGATACCATAGAGCCGACATCGGAGCGCTTGTGATATAGCATCTGATTGAACAGGTGAGAAGTATAGTCGCGTGGTGTTGATTATAAATTCACTTGCAGCTCGAACATACTACTTGCTGTAGAACACAAATACGTACCTAACATAGACACATTCCATACAAAGAAGCTCCGGTGATGAATGCGAAGTGCACTTACAGGACGGTGAGCGGTATTTCATTCTTGTCCTGCGTCATCTGGGACACGGCATTTGTCTGAAGCTTCAAATCTTCCGGAAATTCTTCGGTCGAGAAGTGTCTGATAATGAAAAGCAGATATATGGTTATTCACTGTGGAGATGATTATGTTTTGGTTTTCTTCGGGCGAAATATTGCCACTTAATCAGGGCATATAGTATTAAAGGATCAGACTGCAGAACAACGGCACATTAAAGGATCAGACTTCTGAAAATCAGCCCGGACTACAAAACCTCAAACTGTGATTGAAGCAAAACAACTGGTGTCGGTAACGGTCCGACTTACACCAAATGATTTCCTTCAAGCCGCTTGAAGGATACTCTCGTATTCGTGAGAATAACGACCTCACAACTAGACAAGACTTACGATACAATAACGTTGAAGTCGTTCCCCTTCACATCCAAGATCGCATCGATCAGGCACGATCGCGTGCCGTACGGGGAAGGGAGCACCGTAATATTGCTTGCCTAAAGGTTCCAGTATAAATACAATCAAAGTGGTTGATTTTAGTCATTATATCGGGTCGTATATGGAAACAAAAACTGCATAACCAAGCTGAAACATCATACTTCACAGACGCAGAAGAAAGCTTGAAACCCGTATAGCACGTCCTGAATCTGAGATGCAATTTGCAAACCGCTAAGAGCGACACAAGAATCCTAGTCGCACCTTGACAGGATATAAAGAGATGAAGGAACAGCCCCAGGTGCTGTCTCGTGTCTGCACGCCATAGCTATGATATTCAAACCCCAGCGATGCGCCTAGAAACTCCACCTGGTCTCTGTTGCCCGTCACCACTCGTGCTTGATCACTCTCCAAGATAGCGATGACACCCGCCTGCAGAGAATAATCAGCAAGCCCGTCAATACAGCATGGAGGATATATACAATTGGTTCTGAGTGCTATATCAGCCACATCCGGTGCTTAAATAGTTCCCCTTGATATCAGAGCACGGTGAGACGGATCCATGACACTAAAAACCATAAATTTATCATGTACATACACGCACAGCCTCACAGTTTTATACCATAGCTCATTAATGTAGATCAGCGTCCACTCTGTCTGTATGGCATATGGTGTGTTCCAGCATGACACTCAATAGTAGTACGCACCTTCATGTCTTGTGCGAAGTTGGCTGCTAGTACGTAATTGTCGTATCCGTTATCAGCGTAACCGGTGTGCACATTCCAGATCATAACCTTGATATCCTCATCCGATGACACATCAACCTTATGTGGGTGTGTGATGGCGTACGTGTATCTATACACATAGCACGGGCACGTGACTAGCACGAACAGAGCCACCAGCGCTTTCAGGGGCACTGTCCTGATCCCACCATTCTTTATCTCGCGCTCTGCCGGCGTATTTGTGATCATGTTGTTGAGGGATATACACACAAGCGAGAAGAAGAGCGGATAGTGCGGAGACTCTCGGAAGGTGTCACCCAGATCCAGAAACATGTAGGCGATATTCCAGACCGTGGTGAATTCCAAGAACACAAACGTGAGCTGTAAGAAGGTAACAGCGGGGTGTATGAAGCCACCTTAGCCAGCATCTATATTCGTTTTAGGTTTAGGCGTGAGAGATAGCCTATAACTTACTCTTAACTGTAGTATGTACTTTCGCATCGCGTACAATAGCTTTTGACCATATATTCCGATGTATACCATGTCCATCAAATACAACGACATGCCGAATCGAAGTACGTGGCATACCTGACCGAGAAATAGCGTCCTGCCTTTGACACTTGCGCACTTGAATACGCTGACGTACGTGTACATAGTAGACGCCGATGCGAAGACAGCAACGGCCAGTCCGCCCAGGAATCCGAATAGGGGGTCTCCATAGTAAAGTTGGTAACCACCAACGAGACCCACAAGATTGAAGAGCTGGCTCTGAACCACGCGCCATTGGGACGAGAGCGCAAACCCAAAGAATAAACCTGTCCAAAATGTTGATGGTTATGGCAGGTACGTTCAACAAGGGAGATGTTGAGATCGAGGAGATACTTTACATATACAGTGATGTGTAAGTATTCGAGAAACAGGATAACCCCCTGAAATCATCTATCTAGAATACACTCACCGAGAATAATGTAGAAGCCGAAGTTTGTGCTATCCACACCCACCCATCTCGGCACGACGCTGTGGCAAGTAAACAACCAGAATAGGAGAAATTGATTGGTTCCAAGAGCCAGAGCAGGTATGACCCACCGCAATGTGGGTGTGGGTGTGTGGGGGTGCATCGCTGGCAACTTTTCAACGCCAAAGTACATCACGGCTAACAAGCCTAATAAGGAGAGCCAAGGGGTATGTCTGGGGTTAGTGCCAGATGAACTTATTTACGATGGGAGATGAACAACAATGAATCGTACTCCAGTAAGTTTCTCATCACAATAGCTTTCCAATATGGAAGGGTATGCAGTTACAGACACACCGCTTCCGGAATATACATATATCATACAATCAGGTCATTTACCTCTAATACAACGTTACAAATATGTATACAGGTGAAAGATGAATCGGCCCCGCCGTGGTTGCAAGGCAATATACATACTACACTGAATACATGTACACTCGCACAGAGGCCTACCTACACAAGCCATGTACTTGTCGAACTGCGGAACATCAAAGGTCCATGGATCGGCATTCTTCCACTGAGGCGTAGCGCCTCGATGAAATGACCACACGGGTAGAGCACTCTTGCAGGCAAAGCGAACGGAGATCAATAGAAGCAATGACAGGTTCTGTCCCCATAGCAACCGGTTGCTCCGTTCGGGCGAGTGGAATAAGGCACCTTGTGCTGTGTGTGTGCAACAGACGGCGTTACAATGGCTGAACGTATACCGGTAGATCATGCTTCTGCACAGACAGCTACGCGTTACAATGGCATTCTACAGACTACGATCAGATATATGATGCGATATATGGAGGGAAATCAGAGAAATCTAAAGCGAGATTAATGCGCATTTAACTAAGCATTTGATTCGAATCGGGGCTCGATTGCAGGTCGACCTATACTGAAAGCCGTGACTGTTCTGCATATGGCAGGTGAACGTGATCAGCCACATGTCCATTCTTCGAAGTCACACAACTATATGCCAATCCATCACACTCATACATCACGCTTTGTCGCACACAACCAACAAAACTCCTACAAGCGAATCCGTCGCCCCCGCTTCCGGTACGTTGATTTGTAGAAAAAATACAAATACACACCTGCAAACGACAGGAATATGACAGCGACCCCAATATAAATGGATCGTTCATAGTGATCCTCTAGTTCACCGTAGTAGTAGAATGCTGGCAAGGAGGCGGCCAGCAAGACTGAGATCCAGTTCGCGCAGAAGCGCCATACCAGCTTGATCCCAATCAGTGCAGTGAAGAGATGTACGGCCAAGAATACCTGTGGCATGCAGAAGGAAACTAAAATGCGTATAGGCTCTTGGGCTGATCTTTTAAGACGCCTTCGTGGCTTCAAAAAACCTCTGCGATTAGGCGGGATGAATGATCACGGGTAAAGTAGTCATTGTCGTGCAAGCTCTGCGGATGTGAGTGCTGATTACTTTCTGATGTACGCTGGACGTGCTGTTAAAATATGCATGGTATGCAATTGCAGAGCATATTAGCATATACAATTAATATCCTGCTAAGTTCTAGGATCAATAACAGGGCACTCCGGTGTCATTTAAATATACACATACCTCTAGCCCAGAGAATCCCATAGCCACTAGCGCCGGAAAGAAGATGCGATTTGGCAGCTCACAGAGAAGACACCATAACATCAGCCAAAGCACTCCATCAGAAAGCAACCCAAACGTCCAGGAGCAGCCGGTGGAAGCCCTATTATCTGTTACAGTATAAAGAAAACTTAGATTCAGAAATACTGGAAGCATTTCATAATGGATCAAAGTAACTCAGACAGAACTATGTGGCTCTGACGATTCTGACAGCCGTGATGAGAATCGAGCATGCGCGCGGATTTCGCCAAGTTGAAGCTATCTATCGCGAACACACATCACTTCGGTATTCGATGATATGTAATATTTGCTATCACCGATTAAAATACTATTCAGTATTGGGAGCAACTATACAACCCCGCCCGATGCATATAAATGGGTATGGTACATCAATGTGCGAGCGAATCCAGTATTACTTTCTTCTTTTCTAGTGTGTATAGACCCTGTGTAACTTCCAGTGGCACACGAAGTAATCTAATACACACATAAACTCCGTGCACGTAAATTTAAAATTACGCTTTTTTTGTTTCCGCGGATACCTACTAAAACAAATAACAAACATGAAGAGTGTATTATAGCCTTGTGATATTCACTTTCTTGGGCGTATCCGGGAAGGGCAAATGGCTCGGTGAAGCCAAGTATCAGACTCCATATAGTACTTTGTCAGTACTATATGAGTCTTGATTCTTATCTTGAAACACGCATGGGGCAATAATATACCTTGATTTAATATTCAAATAGATCACACGAGACCACCTTTTCACTAGCACTCCAAGGACTGAGAACTACTTAACTAAGAGGCTGAACAAGTTCAATCGTCTGTCTAAATCGCGAGACATTCTCTCAAAATGATATTTGGTACTTCAGTCTTCAAGTTTTAGATTTTAGAAGTCTTGTTGTTTGGAATAATCGTGGGTAAAATTGATATGATACGGACTGTTCGAATCGGTGTAAATTCGAACTAGTGTAACATATAGGCAATCCAATATACAAAGCTATACCCCAATGGCATACACAAGATTTAGAAAAAATTGAGATGCATTTAATGTATATTTGAGCAGATCACGTTCGACAGTGGACAAGCGCTCATCTGGGTAAATAGACCACAATCCAATTGACAACATACAAAATCGCCTCAAATAGTCATGCTTCCGTGCAGCAACGAAATCATACAAAATGTAGTTGGATTGCAATTGTGTGGATCACTTTCGAAAGTGGTAGTTCATACGCTGATAACTAGTTTGCCATTTTGCATGGCCCAAGCACTAAATCACGCACGTAAATGAACATGTGGACAACGCCTTTGAGAGGAGTATTGGCAGCCTTACCTTTCACACAGCGATCTGACGCTGCAGCACTCATTATGAAGAGTCTCGAGATATCCCGCTCTACCTGTACTACAGCTTCCTTATGCCGCTTTGATGAGTTACCAAGCGAGCCGCTCTGATGTATTTACGATCGCGACACATGAAGCGTATTTAAATGTAATCACTACACCACACAGTACATGCAATGTCCACAATAAAGGATTAAAGGTCAAAATCATTCAGCGTCATCAGTCGCTGTCAATCTGTAATGGTGTCAGAAAAGTCAATAGAAAGCTGACACTTTTGCCTGTCGGCCTGTCGCAAAGTTGCAAACTCATGACGTCTCCAGGCTCCGACCTCCAGAGTCCAGAGCCCCCAGACTTTTTTTTATAAAAATGGTCGTCAATGGTTAGTTCAAAGTATACGCTCAACGTTATAACGTAAATATATGCGAGGTGGAAAGGGTCTGACCTATTCTGAAAAACTATAGAACAATAGGATGAAACAGATTATGTAAACTGAACCTCTGAACCTAAAAACTGCACCCACATTCAACATATAGGACCAATTCAAAGTAACCGCTCGTATAAACCTAAAATGAATTGATTTGTATACGTTAAAGCAGCAAACTCCCTTTATAGCAGTAGCCGTGTTCGCTCAATGTTATATCGTTTATGAGGTAGAAGGGCCGGACCTATTATGGAAAAACTATAGGACTATAGAATGAAACTGAGGATCTATACTGCACCTCAAAATCTAGCAACCGTACCTATTTATACGTAGGAACAATTTACGTATAAACGTTTAAAGATATTGAAGTTTATACGTTATACGTAAAAAGCAGCAAACTCTATGAAACAGGCTGGTTATGACGTTATGCTACGTAAATAAATAGCAGTACATATTTGCCACTCGCCACTCCCGTAGTAACCGAGTTCATAATTTTAATCAAAGTAAAAAGAATGTCTAAATTTTTATTTTTAAACAAAAAAAGGCTAACCGCTAAATACATATATAAATACATAAATACACTATTTTTAAATACAAAAATTAAAAAATTGCATAGCCCTCTATAAATGCAGGGCGAGACAGCCTGGCAGGATTGATGAGGTTTTTCTTTGTTTTTATAAAAACAAACAAAAGCCTATCAAGACTCGAGAGTATGAAAAAAGTAAAAACAAACAAATGTAGAAAAAGAAGAAAAATAACCGACACATATCCTTCCGAGCTACGGCCGGCGGTGAGTTTTACACAAGTTATTTATGTAAATATTGACCATTGTCGTTTATTCCTCATGTATCAAATTCCCCCTAATAACTTTGACACTCCCGAAATGAGCCAGTGAAGCCAGTGAGACGTGAGTCTCGCACTCACTGTGTCAGAGACTCAGTTACAGAGTCCCCGTCGGCACTCGGCACTGTCGGCAGTCTGAACTGAGAACTCTGGTCTGAACTTATGAAGTCTCCCACGACACTCTCCCTTGATCTATGGAATCTGGACAACGGTTGTAAAAATAAAAATAAATGGCCCGTTTGGAGGCCCATAAAGTGTGTAACTGTAAAACCGGTTTGGGCGGGTTTCTGACTTTCAGTGCAGCATATCTATTCTCATCATTTCTCTCTAAAATTACAGAACTTCTTCGGTGAGTTGGTACGCGTTGGATATTAACGCTTGGCATTTATATAACGCTCGGTAAATAGTATTGAGTGCCTTTGAAGCCCTACATAGGTAGATACATTCAAAATGAACGGCAACGATGGTCATAGTAACGAGCAACCACGGCAAGAACGGGCACACAATGGGCAACCTGCACAGCCACCTGACATGCTTCCACCATCACTTCCAATGCAACCGCAACCACAGCAGCAGCATATCGATAATAATGCAGAAAGTATAGATAACAATAGACAGACACAGTCACATGAATACCAGCAGCAACAAGGAGGGCAGCAGCAACCACATGTGATACAGCAAAATGCACATCAACAGCAGCAGCATGACTTACAGCAAAATGTCCCACAGCAGCCAGGCCAGGTTGTACACCCACAACCACAACCGGATGTACCTCAAGTGCAAATCGCACAGACACAGCATGCCAAAACGCACACCCAATCACACTCTCACACTCACGCACAGCAGCATGTGACGGAGGGTCTCTCGGACGTGGAGTCCAATACAGACGAGGAGCGAGGTGTTGAAGATAGCTCAGTAGATCCTGCGATGGAAGGCGTTGATGTAGGAATGCGTACGGACATGATGCAGTATCCGGTATGTTTGTTGTAGTAATTTTGGGGCAGCTTGGGCCGAGATTGTGACTCACATACATGTCTGGTCTATATAGTTGGTGGCACACTAGTCAGATACCTTTTTAGGTAGGAGGTCTATCTATGTATCCATCACTTTAAGTATCTAGTATGTATCATTAATTCCATAGTGGAATACCGAAGGGTATTGAAGTGGAAATACGTACGGGTCTGATAGTTACCTGATATTTTTGTTGTATCATTTTGGGGTTTGTTCGTATAGAGATTGATCTTTTAAATGTCAATGCCTGGTATGAACCGCTGGTGGTACACTGGTCTGATACCCTACCCGGTATGTGTATTGAAGTTATTTGGGGTCTGCTTATATAAAGGTTGTGAACCACTTCCAAGGTGTTTGGTCTGATCCCTTTTTCGGTATGTTTTTTCATAGCAATTGGGGACTGTGTACGAAGCAAAGAATGTACATCACTCAAGTAACTGGTATAAATCGTTGGTGGCATACTGGTCTGATACCTTATCCGGTATGATGTCAGATCATGTGGGGCATGCGTATGCAGGCATTGCCAATCACTTTTATTGAATGGCTGGTTTATATCGTTAATGGCACACTGAAGAGGATCTGTGTGAGAATGCTTACGAGTCTGGTGCCTCAAATTTGTATTTTTGTTAGCACGATCTGGGACCTGATATCATAGAAATTAACATCAGCTACTTTTATGAAACGCATCAATGGTGGCCTAATGGAGGGGGCTTGATGTTGTTACTCTCCTGTGGTGAATTTATAGGTGGCTTTGATACTGACATGGGCCGAACGGAACTCTAGTTGCTCCGTGTCTTTGTCCTACACTTTTATTATTCAAAGCGGACAGATTAGTACCTGTGACCAGTTTTGCACGGCACTTCATAACGTTGTAACTGTTTCATCTAGACTAGCAAAATGTGTCCGAGTCAGAACACTCGCAGAATATAGGTGTGATTGGTGTGGTATCTATTGTCGTGGTCGGTTCAGACTTTGTTATAGCATTTATGAAGCACACTTTGGTATATACTTATAAATATATATTTGTATATATGTGTGTGTGTGTGTCTACACTAATATAAAACTTTCTCTCTTGATCCTGATTCAATGTTACCTTTCTTGGGAAAGAACTTTTAATCTAGTTATGACTTCAGTCGTCCATTGTTAGCATATGCTATTTCAGTCACTTGACAAATAAAATGTCTACAGCTGTTAAAATAGCGTGAACTCTTCACACTCGGCCCTAGAGACTGGCCTTCAATGTCAGGCACTGTATTCATGTCGTAGCTTGAAACTCATCTCACATTGCAAATATATCAGGATTGTAGCGGAAGACTCGTGAGGTAGGAGATGTCATACTGTGATGGCTTTATATCATTCTGCATAGATGAATTATATATATATATATTAATAGATTTATAAGTTTATTGATTTATAGATTTATATATCTCTACATACCATTATGAAATACATATCTGTATTCCCTTAACGTACACATCGCATCTACCCTGCAGATGGACCTCTCTGGCGGGACCGGTGCGATGGTGCCCATGGACACAGACAACGACGTGGTGAAAGTGAGCCAGTCAGCGCTACACATCTTCTGCAACTTAGAACGCGATGTAAGTACTTTAGAGGCACAGGTAGCGTGGGGTGCAGAACATTCGAAAGCCACGTGGAACCTGCAGCAGGGTGCCTTCCAGTTCAAACGGCACAACAGTCTGTTTGGGGCGGAGAACTTGGCCAAGATTGCCAAGATAGTCGGCAGTAAATCGGACGGTATGTGTGTGGATTGCACAGTATTGGAGATTGGGCTGACATTCATTGGGTTGCTAATGGTCCTGTAAGGGATTTCTCTGGTGGCATGAATTGGCATATACGGCTGATTTGCTACTCATGTTCTCTGACTGGTGTTGGTCTTGCTTGGTTATTGCGCTTCGTTGTTTTTCTACTTTTTTGTATATCGGACGATTCCTCTTGCTGGCCCTGTTTTTGGAATCACTATCATCTTGAGTGCTTAGTTTTTCTCACTGTTTGTTTTTGGCATATACATGAATCCACTATTAGTCAAGAAGTCATTTTGTTCGAACTTGTATGCCCATATACTCAGACGGTCAAAGGTACTTCTTAGCTTTGTTTGTTTCTTGCTGAGGTTTTCACTTTCTACATGTCAATTAAAACCCCTATATAAACTTCAAAATCTGAACCGAACTCTCACAGCACCAAATATTTCTTCGTTTTCATATCCTGGTTGTCTACGCGTCGAGCCACGTGTACATACCATACTGCTCTATTTTTGGAAGCCACGCACAACCTTATTCGGCCCAAACCGGCACTCACGTGGCAGTGATTGTCTGTTAATGGGTTGTATTTACACACCATCGACCAGCCCTAAATGTCTTCTCTACTCCACATCCAGCGCAGGTGGTACCAACACACGCACACTCCTACTCGAACCGTATCCGCTTAGTGACGGGGTCAACTACGGCTTCACTATCAGTCTCATCAACCGTGGCAGGCAGAAGCGCGGCAATGCCGGCAGCGTACAAACGGATTCGCAGTTGCAACGTCTCATGGTTGAGTTGCTGGTGGAGGTCAAAATGACACAGAAAAGCAAAAGCCTCACGCCGGGGATAGCGAAGTGTGTAATACGTTTAATACGTTATAACTTTTTAAATTCGATCTTGTTGTAAGTATCGTAGGGCTTACTTCATCCTTATTTGTCGCGCATCTAGACCCTACATTTGACTAGAAGTTGAACGCAATCGCCATCATTCCAGTTTTGGATACAGACCGGTGTATATGTACTGGTGATCGCATATTTTCTGCATCTACCGATACGTACAGAAAGACAAGTTTACTAGTGTACTAATATGCTACGCTGCATTGCTTCGTTCAGGTGCTATGAGACCATCCTGACCTGTTGCAAGACCAAGGAAGAGATGGGTATGCTGGGCCGTATACTGCGCAACCACTCACGCGCCACCAAGTCGTCTCTGTCGTACTCCCGCCCCACGGGCAAGTACAGCGGATACTCTGAGCTCATGAGACGCGTTGCTCGAGGTAATTACTTAATGTTCTGTGTACTTTTGATTGAATGTGAGGGTTTAAAGTGAATTCCTCTAGTTTTTGCAGTAGCCTGTACGGTGCGGTGAACGTTATAGAAGTTAAGATAGGAAAGCGAACCCATAGACTTACTGGTCCAGTCCTTTAGGTTTCTGTTAGCGTGTTTGATCGGCCGCGTGACGCGCAACAGTGGTGTACTGAACGTGGAACCAATGCTACTGCAAAATGCAATGAACTCACTTTTTTGTCTAGTTCCTTGCCGCAATCGACAGTCAAATTTCAATGTCTGATGATTACAATTTTGAACCATTTGCCATGCGTGTATTGTGTGCGAGCTGTTTGTATGCAACTGAGAGTGTTGCTCAGTTTACACCCTAATTATCATTTGCGCGTGCCAGATACCATGCTACGGGCAAATCTGGGGTATGTAGTAGCTGTTGTTGTAGGCATTTGGGCCCTAGCATGTCCGTCCCTCACTTTCTCCGTACCCCTGCTTGGAATCTGTAGCCCTGAATGCCGAAAGTCGAACCCTAGACCCTGCGCTTATCGACTCGCTCAACCTTGACGCGGAACACAAACAAACCTTGATGGACTTTCTTGAGAAGGACAGTACGTGGAGCGATAAATCCCAACAGATCAACCAGATCTGCAAAACAGCCTGGGCCATGTTGTCTGCGGAGACCAAGGAAGAGTTTGTGGAGATCGGCACGCGGAAACGGAAACGTGAGCCTGATAGTATGGAGGACCGCGTGCAGGTCATCAGCGACTTTGTGGTATGATGCTATACGTATACGATGCGAAGCGGATTTGTGGATACAAAACATATCCAATTAAATTGTGTGTAAATTGCATTTCTCATGTTTCCATTGGTTTGAAATTGGCCCTCGTAAACGGTAATGTTAGAGATTCGTCCTGTCTCTCGTGTGCTCTGAATTTATTTGGCTGTTCACAGTTTTCTCGTTCTCTTCAATATCAGAAAACTATCAACGACGCTGGAGATATGCAGCTGCTCGCTGTGGTCGATCGACCCGGGCATTGCCCAGAACGCTTCGGCTCGATACCGCACCATGTATGTGGTTACTTCAATGAACCCTCAAATTTCCCCCAATCTCACACCACGGCACTTCTGATGCCTGCGAGCCAGCAAACGCCGCCCCAACAACAATTGGGAACTGCGCAACAACCGGGACATTTCCAAATGGACCACTCGGCCCTGTCCGACGATGTGCAGGTGCAGCTACAGGCACAGGCACAGCAACACGCCCAACAGCAGCAACACGCCCAACAGCAGCAACAGCACGCACAAGACGCACAGGTAAGAATTCTATGCTGTGAAAGAGCTCGCGCAATAAGCCTTCTTTCCTGTGCCCTCATTCTTATGGGTTGATTTACTGGGCAAGATTACACATGTGGACTATAGACATCTAAACTGCCTCTCTCACCCGGACAGGTCCATGCGCAGATACAAACCCAGCAATTGCAATACATGCAACGACAACAGCAGCAACAACAAGAGGAACATCATCAACAGCAAGCACGTATGCAATCCCAGGAAGATGCTGAAGCCCAGGCACATGAGCAAAACCTGGTCGCTCAAAGACATAGAGAAGAAACCCAAGCCGAAGGCGTGCGTGTACATGGACAAAGTACTGGTGAACCGTCGTTGGCTGCGTTAGTGACACCAGAAGAGGAGATCACTGGCATCAACAATACTGAGTTCAATATGCCGAGGTGGGTGGTTATGATATCTTGGTTACACATTTATATATTTATACGAGTTTGATACCACATTGATATCACGTTCAGGAGATGATCCACGCATGCTAGTCTATTTTGAATCTATATGATCTTGTCATGGCTCACAGTGCCATAAGTCCTAGTAGAATCTTACAGTGCCTTGCCCTTATATGACTAATGTTACCGTGTGCACTCATATTCCTCATTGTGAGTCAATTTAATCACTTGGGTCTTGCTCTTGCGTGATTGATGTTACCCTTTGCACACATATATCTGTCATTGTGTGTCAATTTAACTGGGTCTTGCTCTTGTGTGATTGATGTTACCCTTTGTACACATATATCTCTCATTGTGTGTCAATTTAACTGGGTCTTGCTCTTGCGTGATTGATGTTACCCTTTGCACACATATATCTCTCAATGTGTGTCAATTTAACTGGGTCTTGCTCTTGCGTGATTGATGTTACCCTTTGTACACATATATCTCTCATTGTGTGTCAATTTAACTGGGTCTTGCTCTTGCGTGATTGATGTTACCCTTTGCACACATATATCTCTCAATGTGTGTCAATTTAACTGGGTCGTGCTCTTGCGTGATTGATTCTTCTATATACAAACATATTTTTCTCATCTTGTGTGACACATCATCTGACTGTAGTTCGGAGGCTACCGAATATGAAAGTGACACGGCGATGCCTGAGGTCGTGCACGCTGTTGTCAAAGAGTCGGCGAAGCAAACCAAGGAGCAGCTGCGACAAATAGTTATACAACGGCTGAATAAACTCTACTGTGGTATGTGAGTGAGCTTGGCATATGTATACTTGCAAGCAAACGATATGTATGTATGTTGCAAATATAAGTTAGCTCACGATTTGGCATATTGGACACATATGGTCGGAGCATCAAAGGTCCCCTTTTGACACGTATTTGAACTTCTACGTAGATTCGTGCTCGCAAAGACTGTGTATGGCCGATTTTTACCGAGATTATATATATATATGTGTGTGTGTGTGCGTATATATATATATGTGTGTGTGTATATATATATATATATATATTTATATATATATATGTGGATATGTTTATGTATGTATGTACACGTATATGTTATGTGTGTATACATGTATATATGTTTATATATATATATGGTTTATCTATATATGCATATGGATGATATATATACGTGAATGTATATGGGTTTCTAGAATGTACGTGGGCTTCTACTTTTGTGTTCAAGATTTTTCTCTTGTGATATGCAGTGTTGCGAATCCCTGTGCAAGGATTAGGGTTTTAGAGCGTACGACTATCAAGTCTGTTATCATTATAATCACAGAGATTGCTTTAGTATCCCAGGAAGTCTAAACTATCTTGTTGATGCCTGCCCTTCTCGCCCACAGATGTGACTGATTTGAAGGCTGTGCCATGGGTGGAATACCGAAAGGGATGTCCCTTTGCACTAGCCAATCGATCAACAGTATGTGATGCGCGTATCCCTATCAATCAAGGCTGAGCCTCTTCAAAACAGTGGAGTTTTGAAGTACAGATTGCGTAGCCCATAATTGGCAAAGATCCATTGAGAACACGGTTCGCGCGGCTGTAGTTCGTTGTTTCGTAGGTATGTATCCTATTTCGGATAATTTCTAGTCGTATGTCGCTCTCTAATATATCCACCTACCGGAAAACAGGGTCAACACTATAGCGAATTCAGCAATTGGGTAAAAGGAGTGAAGGGGCCCTACAGTGCCAAGGAGTTGAAGAATCTGCAGACACTCTTAGATAATCCAAATATTATTCTGAAAGTCATGATCCCACCTGAATTTGGTATGCCTATTCCTATCACCGTGTGTCAGTTGGGCTTTTTTCGAGCTCAGTGCAATTATCACATACCGTATTTGTGCTAGAATGTTATCTTATGTCAAACTCTACTACCTGGAAAGCTTGTATAGCAATACTTCGAATGTTCTAAGCTAAGTGTCTCGAACAAACATCTGTATCCACATCGAAATCTCACCACCGTGTCTGTTGAGGACCTGAAGCTGTTATAGCGCGACATGGTCACTCGCATGCTTGCTACAGAGGACGCCGTCTTTCAGCGTGCTTGATACACTTATATGAAAGTCCAACCTGAACTATCCGCGAGTATCCAGATAGAAGACTGATGGCCATCTATTGATGAATTGCCACGAATCATAGCACCATACTGCGTGCTAATACAAATGGCTGTACATATAACACTCTATCACTACAACCCAGTGTCCCGGTTCCAAAGCTTGGGCAATGAGCAGCGCAAGTTTGTGGCCAATTTCATCGGCCTGAACCGGTACGAGAAACCAGTCCTGGTGTTCAATGGCGTCAGCGGTGGCGGCAAAACGCATGGGGCAGTACTGGCGGTAGAGATAGCGCGATCAATATATGGACAGGCCTCTGTTCTGGCGACCGGTACGTACCTGATTAACGCGCAGAGGTACCCAGACGGTATGACGATCCAACAGGTGATGGGCCAGCTAAGCACCGAGCTCGATTTGAACCAGTTGCATCTACATCCCAGGAAGACGGACAGGTGTGTTGATGTATCTTCACGTACACATAAACTTCGGTTTATACTGACGCTTTCGATGTTGGTGGCGAATTTTGGAGGCCTCGTGTGGTTTAGTTGTGGATAGGCGGTGAAAACAATCGGTGCTGTCCAGTTCCCAATTTAGCATGAAACTTTAGTTTCGTCTCATTGTTACATCATGGATTCCTATACCTACCCGTATACCTATGAATCACTAGCGAGATGAATTTTGAACTATTCATGTCTGGCCATTGATTTGTGGTGTGACGTGGTGTTGGCCTGATTCACTTCTGTGGGACAAAACGGTCTCAAAATAGGACAGTATTGCCACGGGTTCAATTATATACCGCCTAATAAGCAACCAATGTTACCAGCCGTCTGACCACTATTTGCCTTCTGCGCTCTATGGCAGTCACGTGTTAGAGAAGGCTCGAATACTTTTGATCGATGGTGTTGGGGACGAAAGCAGCCAGTTTCTTGAGCACTTAGATCAGTTCCTACGAGAAAAATTGGGAAAGAATGGAACGTCCAACAATGCCCCGTTCGGGGGGCTTAGATTGTGTTTAATAGGTATGTCGTGTCTGTGTATTAGGTATGTCATATGTGTGTATAATATATATGATTCGGGCCCGTTTTGAGGTACTTTGTTTATGTTTTGGTCATCAGTAGTTACTCAAAGCGTGCCTAGTGGGTATGTCTTCGACTGTGGTCAAACTGTCTGTTTATTTTCCCGCAGCACTAGTTGCCAACACGTATCGTATCCCTGCCAGCATGCAGATAGTTGTAGCCTTCCGTGCATCGTTCCAGTGACAAGTAGGGTTTTGAACAGCACTTCCTCGCTACAGCTGGCACTCCAGCATGTCTTAGGTTGCCTATGTGGGCTGTAGCTGAAGATAAATCATGGGTCTACGAGATATTACAATCGCTTGCGCACATGGCGTTCGTGCGCCGGTTGGGTGGCTGTGTTTGACTATGCGGCCAACTCGTATGTTGTATGCTATTCACCATGGCGCGAGTTTAATTTTTCGGGCAACGATTATCTACCCACCAACATCAACGACAGGGATAATGTCCGTGCCATAGGTGATACGCTGACGTTTTACTATATTGTTCCCACCGCCACAGGCGACTGTATGAAGACAACCCGGGCAGGAAGTGAGGTCCGAACAACCTCATCATTCTACTTCCACTCCAGGGTATGTATATGTTGGCAGCTGTCGCAATGCTGAGATGTATGCTTACCCGTGATATGGCCTGCTAGAGTGCGTGGCTCAATGCCGACAAGTATGATTACTACCATGCTGCACACCATGCTTTTCTATATAGATAGTTCTATGTCGACAGGTTGGTGGGTCGCGATACTGCTTATTGAAGTTCACGACACGACATGGACGGCCATAGATATATTCTCATGATACCTTCATCGGTTAATGTTCAGGAGGACTATAAACTATGGATGAATGACCCATGGATCGTTTAGAAATTAGGAATCCTCCTCTATTGAGGTTTCAGAATGTGTCCCATTATCACAAGGGTTTCTCATGGTCATGCCTTTGTGTCAACAAGTATGGTATCTCACAATGAATACTGTTAGTAGCGCCAGCACCACGCCTCTCTTTACGAAAACTCCACTCGCTACCGCACCGACTTACCCGAGGTATGGCACGATCTGAGCACAACTTGCAATCACAGCCACCGACTAACACAGTCAATCCTGGCACCCCCAATCGCCTTTACAGATATTCACAGAGTTAGACGCTGGTGGACATGTACGGTATTTTTTCGTGGACAAATCACATCGTGCAACCGACTCGACCTACAACACCTACATCAAACGACTGCGGCGTGGCGAGTGGGCGGGTGAGGTCAGCAACTACTTCAGGTCAATGTACAAAGCGCGAGCAAATGAGAATGCGATTGAGATCTGTAAGTTTCAATGTGATAGATTTTTCTTCTTCTTTTTTATAATCGCTGCATCTAGCTAATCTAGCTACTGCTTCAGGTCAGGATATATATAGATCTACTCTAGGTCAATATATGTTGGAAACTAAAAACTACTTTAGACCAATATTTAGGAAACTATTTTCGGTCAAAATATATAGAAAAATACTTTAGGTTTTATATATCTATATATCCATATATGTATATGTATACATATATTATATTTGTATTTGTATTTATTTATTACGCGAGCAAATGATGTGATTTAGATCAGTAAGTTGTAGTCTGGTTGACTCATATTGGTTTAGTATAGAAGGAACTACTTTAAGGTGGCAAGCGAGACGCGGGCAACTGATGATGCGATTGAGGGCTGTTAGTTTCAGTGTGGTATATTTGTGTTCGTTTGGTGAATACATTCACTCTTCTAGGTATAGGCCGTGAGCTAATGGTGTGATTAAGATTTGTCCGCTTCCGTGTGGTGAGTTTTGTTAGCTGGGTGAATCCACCGACCAGTTCAGAGGATATGGTAGATGCATGCATGCGATAAACGATAATGCCGTTGAGATATGCAGGTGCCAATACGGTGCATCTGTGTGTTATAGTGGCTTGTACATGAGCCGTTGAGTAGCTACTACTCGGGTTCGGTATTTGGTCTGTGGTTCGTATGTCCCATTTCGCGCGCAAACAGTAAGAAAATCGCTGCGACGACGGTCTAAGATGTTCATATATGTGTGTGTTGTTATATACTAACTTATTTACTATATTTCAATACCCGGTGCTTGTGTTGTCAACATGGTTCAACGTGTTGATGGCGTCAGTCTCATATATAATGCACTAGCAACAAGCCATGCTGATAAGCTTCTACTCACATACGTTGCTGTTATTTATGTGGATGCAGTCACTTCTCAAGAACAGTGCAACGTAGAGTATGAGGAGTTGCTACAAACTAATGCGAACGTCCTGTATCCGCCCATACTGGTCAACACGCCAAGCCCCGAGACGAATGGTTTCGAAAGCGAGGGGGTATGTTAATCGCCAAATGCATGCACAGACTGAGTGGACGATCTACGAAAAGTTTACTTACAGACACTGGCGACCCCTTGTTTCTACTCGCACCGATTGCCTTGTCACTTCTTTGAAGACTTTCTGAGTTGGTTCGTATGAAAGGCCGTTGCATTGCTTGGTCAAACGCAGTCCGACTGAACTTCGCCTGGCCAATTGCAGACATGTGTCTCTTAGAAGTTCAGTACATTTTATTACGTACTGTTGAGAGCTAGTCGCCCCCGTGAACAGAGTACTGAGTGTGCTTCCTAAATGTTGTTTCCCTTTTTATTTGTCGTATCACAGTTCAGTGTAGATGCGATTAGGCGATCGCTGACAGCAGACCCCAGACAACCTCGGAGAATGCCTATAACCCAGGTAAAATTTGGCATATGATGATTGAATTGTTGCATGTCTTAGGCACCTATTCTAGGAACAATGTAATATTTTGTGCATGGTTTTTCTCCGGTTGGGTACGCTTTCTCAACATTCAAGCTTGTTATATTCGGTACTCGACTGTCGTGCCAAAAATCACTTAAAGCCCGCCCGAAGTTCGACTATACCTTTGAAATGAGTGACATGGGTAACTCAACATTTTGCTTCTGCGATGTCTCTAGACCTTCAAGGGCTGCCGCGTGCGAGTATACCTGAACGTGCACTCTGGCAGATTCACCGTTGCTGCTGGCACATTTGGCACGGTCGTGGAGGTGGGGGAAAACGTTGTATACGTCCTCTTCGATGGAGTTTCCAATAGCCATGAGCCCGTGACCATTCCCGTATACGGGCAGAAGGAGTACTCGCACCTTCGCACCGTTGGGGAGGTGTCTCGCACAGTGATTCCATTGATCCAGGCTCACTTTATGACTGTGGATACTGCTAAAGTAAGCGTTTAATTAGCATAGAGACCGGTCAACTCGCTGTTGTGTGCGGGTTTTTAGGTCTTCTTGGCGAGTGTTCAAAATTCGGTTTTGATGCTCTTTGTCTCCACTATTTAGTTTGGCCCGTTTATTCTGAACCTTGCGCTGGAAAGAATAGCTCATTCTCGCGAGAACTGATGGAGTATCTCTGTTAGTCAGATCCGTACTATTGGCTACAAACTCTCGCAGGCGCAGACCTTCCACATGTTACAATATCCTTCAACTGTGTCCTCATTCTTTCTGCACCCACAGGGCCACGAATTCACCAATACTATGATTGTCCACACCGATAGTGGTTTCACAATAGAACAGCTATACTCGGTGATAGCCATGACCACCGACCCAACCCGCGTCAATGTCCGGGTAAATGCGATAGTGCACTTATCCGCAAACTCTCAGCCGCTCATTGAATTCGACCGGAGATGTGCAGAGAAAGCGCTCATGTCCTTGTGAGACCCTCGGTCAAGGTATCAAGAGCATCTGTATTGTACGACAACCGGCGACGCTTGTTGAACCATAAAGCTACAATCGCAGTAGTTGCAGTGGTTGCTCATACAGTTGAACCCCACGCATCGTACATAAACGTGGGTTATGCTCCACGTTTGTAGATGACAGGCTGGTTCAGGTAGCATTGACGCTCAAAGGTCAGAGATGGCAGTGGCAACTCAGTTAGCGCCAATATATGGCATCGCCAACTCGGTGAGATACATGTTGACGTAGCATATAGGCTCACCATATGGGGTCGAGATATTTCTGTGAGGTCCTTTGAGAGCACAGATGTGCTGCACAAGTGTGGGCGGACCTCTTATCGGGATGCAGTCCAAGGGCTAACGTTCGACCGAAATCCGGTTGGCGCAATACTATCATGCGGTATATGTGCCTGTTTTATGCCTTGAGAACTTCAGTGCCTCGGCCGCTAAGGGCTGGTGTTGTGGGTTGGGAAACACTCGCCAATAGAAATGGAATATAAAGAAATCTTTCATCAGCCTGTATACCGATGCAGAGGTCACCTCATTGGCTTCCGAGAATGTCTGCAAATCGTTAAGGTACATATTACTAGGATTTTTGTCTTCCTGACCGTGTAAATATACCGCTTGCATATCTTATCAGGGCTCGTCGCCATCTTCGGCTAGCATCTCCGCTATCAGCCGTTTCCTCTCGTCTTCCTGCCGAGCTATGCGGGCTGCCGGACTCTCAAGGTCTCGCTGTGCCTCGGTGAGTCGGAAAGTGGGGCCCGCCTTCGCATGGAGAGTCGCATATACATAAAGGATGCAGTAGAAAGAATGCATTAGTGCGTGGAAATATGCGTATACAATATGACGCATTCTTGCGCAGTTCAATACACTTATGCACGAGGAAGCCTATGCGCCCGATTCAGACATGCGTGGCTCAACCCACAATGGACTGGCACAGAGCTAACGGAATCGTGATGCAACCAAAGTAGTGCACGCGGTAGGGATATATATTGGTTTACATTCAAAAGTAGAATTTGACTGCAGCGGCACGATATAAACACTGCAGTTTCTAACTGTACTATTTTCGAATCATCAACGGGCAGGATATAGCCGACATACTGTACATGCACACATCACCTGGATACATAACACTTAACAGGCCTTTCCCACAAGAACCGAGTAGACTTTGACTGACTGTCAAATCAATATACCTTTGCATGCGCAATCTTCATATCCTGTGCGTGTCGCATTCTTGCTAGTACTGAGGCTTCGTAGTCAACTTCAGCCGCCGGCTGTGTGTTGGGGACTGAATCACGCGTGGCGAGATAACGTGGAAATAGCCGTGAGGAATATATATCGAATGTTATTGACTTTTTGGTGATAATAGAGGCGCGAGTGATTAATGTTGTGAAAATAAACCAAGGCAGGCCTATGCGACGACCACAGTACGCATGTGACCGGCATGTAGGTGTGGTAATCATAACACTAATCCGATCTTGAAATACAATCCATTGCCTTTTAACCCCCCTGTTCACAATCAGAGTAATATTGCTTACCGTACCTGTTTTGAAGCGTCCCGATTTTTCCTCTCTGCCCTCTGGTAAAGCAACCCCAGCTAGACCAGCTACGCTATCCACACCCGTGGTCTTTTCCTTGTCGTTAGCGCCCACGTTTACACCCAGACTTCCTGTTGTGCCGAATGCATTGCATACAAAGGGTTTGGTCTCCGAACTATCGGCCTGTGCTACCCGCTGGGCCGCATCAGCAGTTGAGAACTCCAAGACTGCAACGCGCTTGTGCTTCAACAAGCCTACATTGCTCAGCATACCAAAGCACTTGAATGTCTCCTTAACTAGAGTTTCATTTATAGATACTTCGCGATCGATTTTCTTGCTCCACTTGGCTCTGATAGTGTTGGCTCGAGCTGTGGCAGGGCCGGAGTTTGCCCTGTGTTCAGCCGTTGGAAGTGGGCTAGCACTATGAATATTTAAAAGGCTTGTATTTCAGATTGGATTGTACATAACCGGTAGGTTTGGGAAGATCGTATTGTATGAATGCGCAAGTGAGATCAATCCTATAGTCCTCACTTCAATGCCTGTCGTTGTTCAGATGTCGAGATTGATTTTTTCAATCTGTATATCAGACCGGATACACCCATACAAACATCATATAATTTAGCATACGCTGAATCAATCTGACGGCAGAGTAGCGGTTGAGGATGATCTGCGGCATGGCTCATAAATGGGTAGGACTGAGCACGAACAACACGCACGATATCAAACAAGAGATGGTCATACGTAACTTCCAGTTAGATTACCTTGATGTACGCGCAGCTCCAGCATCATTGGGTCCCTCTGAATTGCCATTCTTCAGCCCCTCGGTACTGTTCGAGCGCAACAAATCTTCTTGTGCCTGTCTGAGTTTATTCGATCCCTCAGCTCTCAAGCGACGTATCTCGATCTCGAGCGCTTTCTGAGCATCCGCTTCGGAAACAGAGGCACTGGAAGATGGAGTGCCAAACACAAAGACTCCAGCCTTTTGCTGCTTGAGTAGTTTTGCTCTTGCCTCTCTTTCTTCCAGGTCTTTGCGAATAACAAGGATTACACAAGTCAAAATGGTGTTTTACAACTCACATTCGATTGAAAATAGAAAATTCAACTCGGACCGATTAGAAGTACGATTATGAAAATCTTTCCATACCCATCTTCATCTTCTTCCGTTTCTGGTCCAATTTGGAATCCTTCAATTCTTTTGCCTTCCGAGCTGCAATGACCGCATCGTATGCAGCACGCGCTTTTGGATCGGACAGCAGCTCATAGGCCACGGACAATTCATGGAATATAGCCACTGAAAGGACGGGTGTGTATATAATTGATGATAAAATTATGTGATGATCCCAAAATCGTGTCAATCTTCAAATTTAGTGGGTGATTGTATCATTTAATTTGCTAATTAGTGCGAAAGGTTTCGTACAAAATGAGTAAATACCATTTTGTCACATAGAGTAGACGTCCTGACATGTACATATATTCCTGCTTTATGCGGAAAATAACCCAACTTTAAATACGTTCCAATCTCGCAAATAAGTTTACTAGATGATAACTATTCTTGTCGAAAACTACATCAACATCTACTCGAAACAAAGCCAAAAACATAATAAGAAACAAGAAGATCGCCAATATATATATATATATATATATATATATATATATATATATATATGTGTGTGTGTGTGTGTGTGTGTGTGTGTGTGTGTGTGTGTGAGTGTATGAGTGTGTGTGTGTGTGTGTGTGTGTGTGTGTGTGTGTGTGTGTGTGGGTGG